CTGTTAGATTGTCCCACGTTCCACTGGGTAGGTATTATACGGACCACAAACTCGTTTGTGCCCGTGTGGCGTTAGAACATAGGCCTAGAATGGCTGGCTACTGAAGTTCAATCTGTCCTTACTGGACAGGCAGGACTTCAGGAGCAGCCGGACCAAATGCAAAGGGGAGCTAGTGGGGGCGGTTATCGGGAATGGGTGGTGGGACAGACTTAAATGTAGAATTAGGTCCTTCACCACTGATTTCAGCAAACGGCTCGCCCTAGATAGAGCTGAAAGGTGAGGACGCTTAATCTAGTCATGCCGGGCGGTGGCTGGGGGATCCCCAGAGATAGCCGTCTAAGGGGCGTTTGAATAGCGAGCGCTACATGGGCCAGGTAATTAGGCATAGGTTAAGCAAGATGTCTTCCGAAGCCGTGAATATGGGCGCAGAGCTGCGCAGGAAGAGGTCCGTCGAGGTGGCGATCGTTATATTCGTGAAGTCAAAACCCCGGAAGGGCGCACCCTTCGGGCCACTGACGACATGTGCGAGGCGTTTCGGCGGCATTTAGAGAGCCGTTTTACCAGGGAGCCTGGTCTTCGTGAGGACGAGTTTCGCAGCTATGACTTTCCTCGGCTTTCGCCGACTGAAGCGGCTAGCTGCGAGGGAGAGGTTACCGAGGGCGAGGTCTACGCGGCTTTGAAGAAGGTCGGCAGAGGCAAGTCGCCCGGTCTGGATGGTCTGCCCTATGAAGTGTACTTGAGGCTGTCGCACATGATTTTGACGGTCTTCAACAACTGGTTCCGGCAGGGGTCTCTCCCCGACCGGTTCTCCAGGGGTGTGATCACGCTGTTGAAAAAGGGCAAGGGTGTTGGGGGGAAGCTAGACGACTACAGGCCCATAACTCTGCTAAACACAGAGTTAAAGATTATGGCCAAGATGCAGGAGCGCTTGCAGTCAGTTGCCGAGTCTCTGTTGGGTCCCGAGCAGACCTGTTCTGTGAGGGTCGAACAATAGAGCAACCTGCATTTGATCCGCACGATCATAGAGGGTGTAAAACGACGATGCCGCGCTGATCAATTTGGATCAGTCCAAGGCATTTGATAGAGTTGACTATCGCTACCTTGCTACTGTCCTGCAGGCCGCCGGATTCGCACCCGACTTCTGCCGCTGGATTAGCCTCCTGTATCGCTCCCCAGTGCTGTGGTACAGGTGAACGGAAAGCTGTCAGGCGCTTTTGCGCTGTTAGGTCGGTCCGTCAGGGTTGCCCGCTGTCGTCGCCCTACTTTACGCTTTGGCGTTGGGCCTCTCCTTCGCCGGCTGAGGGATTTGCGGAATCGCCGTTCCTAGATCGAGCCAGGGTTTCCGCGTACGCCGATGACGTAACTGCTTTCGTGTCGTCCCGCAGAGGTATCAGAGCAGTACAGAAGGCGCTTGATCGGTACGAAAAGGTGACAGGGGCCAAGATTAACCGCGACAAGTCGTCCGGCTTGCGGTTAGGCGCCTGGAAGGGGTCGATCTTCCAGGGCCCTTCGGTTGGACGGACGGTCCCTGTCCGCATTCTCGGAGTGTGGTTTGGACCCGACCTCCAGCTGGAGAAGAATTGGTCTGAAGTACGAGAAGGTCTACGCCGCCGGTCAGACTTGGCGTCGACGGAAGTTGTCCGTGAAGGTAGGGCGGAGGTGTGTAATACATTTTCCCTCTTGTCCTTATCGATTGTCCGTACTTCCTCTGTGACGACCACAGGACACCGCTCGAGCGCGCGCTAACCTCCATTCTATGGAGGAGACGCGAATTTTGTACAACGTCCGTGTCATGGGGGCTGGGAATGCCACACTTGCTGAGCCACAAACGTGCCTCGAGGTTGGCTTTCCCTACGCCGCGCTTTGACAGGTGGAGATCCGATTTTTTCCCTCGCCTTACCATCAGTCCCCAAGCTCGCGGGTGGATAATCGGTTTTCTTTTCGCGAGTGTCGGTCGGCCTTGTTGGCTGTCCCTTGTCCAGTGACCTTTTCGGCCTAGAAAGGACTTTGTTGGAGGGGTCGCGAAGGATCCACTACGTGAGATCTCGACATGTCGGATGATGAGTTTCGCTCACTGGTCTTGGGCGCCAGCGGCGGATTACCTCAGTAACCCTGAGTTTTCGCTTACCTGGCGACTGGCTCGGAATCGGCTGCCTCTCAACGACATGGCCTTCATATGGGGCTTGGCGGACTTGCCAGACTGCGATCGGTGTGGCCTTGGTCTAGAGGAAACGGCTTCGCACGCCTTCTTCCATGTCCGCCCCCTTTATGGGACCATGTCGGCGAGCTGACGGCTCGTCTCGCTCCCGAAAAGCTTGTGCCCAGGGATCGTGCATACGCTGTGACAATGTGTGTGTGAAACGGATGGTGTTAGTTTGTTGCTAGCCACGGCCCGAATGGGGATATGGACGACGCGAGAGGAGGAAGTCTTGCGGGGTAACCGTCTTTCTCATCAGGATCTGATCCGATTCTTTTGAGCATCAGCTCAAGACGAAGATTAGAACTGACAGAAAACGCTTGCATTCGACAGTCTTCAGCGAAAGGTGGGTGACTGAGGCGAGCTTGGTTCGTGTGAACGGGGCTCTTGATTTTCTGTTTTAGGTCAAGCCCACGTTACATCGGGGTGGCTTCTGTGGTGCCTCCCTTGGTTAGGTTAGACAAGCCTTGGTGTACCTAGTTAATGCGAGTAAGTGTTGTTCCTGGCCTGCCCCGGCCACATCTTTAGTTATGATCCAGCCTGAGATTCCCAACCTCCCCAGCTTTTTTTGATCCCCCACTTTCTATCTCGACTGGGTCAGCTTTATACTTCCACATGCCCGTATGATTTTTTTATCACCTTTTCCCACTCCCTTAGCGAGAGCTGTTTGATTTTGTTCCAATGGGCAGAATACAGTGGTCTCCCTGCATTTTTGGGGGGTTGGAAGGGCCCTACTAACATCAGTTAACGTTTTATTTTCATTTATGTTAATATTTTAGTTTGTTATTGGGTTCACATCCCACCCCCATCTCATTTTTTTTTCATCTTAGAATTTTTGTACATATGTGTTAGGATCATTATGACATGGGGCGCGTTTTGTAGGTCTCCCTAGTGGATGTGGTATTATGGTGCAAGGAGGATTGATTGATGACGGACGAGTTCTTATGGTGAATATAAATTGTAATGTCTGAATGGGTCGTGAATCAAATTAGCTAGGTATAAGATAGTTAGTGAAGACCAGCCCTACCCCTACCCTTTTTTTCGGCCTTGTGCCACAATTTTGTATTTTTTACAAAATAAATCCCGGTTCTATGATGTTGTACCACGTGAGAGAACGAAATATTAACATCAGAACGATTGCATTTAAACAGTTGGTTGCATTTCTCCACCAAGAAACAAATTATTTATAAATGGAAGACCTTTGGTATGATGGCATCACAATCAAGAAATGACCGTCCGCGAAAAATAACAGCAAGAGCGAGTAGACATCTAGTTCGGCAAGGCCAGGCAAATACTGCTGTGACTTTTGAGGTTCTCAAAGGCTCACTGGCCAATGTCGGAATCAATGTGCATACATCTACAGTGCGACAAAATGCCGATCTTCATGGCAGAATTCGGGGCTGGATCTTATAACAGGACAAGGATCTGAAGCATCAAAGCAAATCCACAAAAGAATGGGTTCGTAAAATGAAATTCAAGACTTGGATTGTCCTCGTCAACATATATATATATATATATATATATATATTGAACAATAAAAAATATTTAAAAATTAAAATCTACAGGCATACTGGGTTGTAGATTAATATTCTTTCGTTTTTATTATTATTATTTATTAGATTCCTCGACTAGTTTCGGCCAACATGGCCATCATCAGGAGAAGAAATATTTCTGCTTGCTGGCAGCAGTGAACTACAGAAATGAATGTCTTGATGGAAAAAATGAACTTTTGTCTGTAGTTTTCATTTGTTTTTATATTTGTTTTATCTTTTTAACATGAATTTTTTAACATTCCTTGTGTTGGTCAAACAGTCTCTTTTAAGTTGTTATTTGAGATAAGAGCTGAATGGATCCATGCTGCTCTGAATTCCCCTGGTCAGTTTGACAGTTTTATTTGTTCCTGGAGAGGGGATGTGTCTCTGTTAAGTGTGTGTTAGTTTGTTCTTAGGGGAGTGAGTGAGTATGATATGTGTAAGCGTGTATATTGCTGTGGGTGTGTGTTATCATTTGGCTCATTAGGGAGTGAGAGAGCATGATGTGTGTACGTGTGTATATTCGTGTTGATGTGTATATAAGTGTGAGGCATCAACACCTCCGTAAGCATGTCTGTCTTATATGGGTGAGAAATGTGGGTAGGTTTTGATTTGTAGAGTTATATATTGATACTATCTATATTGTTAAATTTATGGTTTAGCCCGGCTAGTGTGTTTTTAAACGTTGTATCCACTTATTTTCATGAAACTCTAAAATCTTTCTAATGTTATCTGCTCTGAACTTTTCTATTCTGTCAATTATAGTGAAATTGTCATATATATATATATATATATATATATATATATATTCATTCCTCTCTAGTAGAATAATGAGCACTAAAATTTGAAATAAATGTCCAGGTCATTTTTTTTTTGACGAACAGCTTCTTTCATCTTGTCAAGTGTTTTAAAGTACTTGCCTTAATTATCTAACCATTCAGTATAAAGTTCAAAGGAAGGGTACTTTTTGCATGCTAGTGCCATCATCAATAATGGCTATTTTGAGCAGGTAGGTGGTAGTGATAGGATATGGAGTGATTGTTTATTATGGTTTATCAACCATTGCAAGTTATTTAAAGCCAGAATTTTTTAAAGAATGTTTTGACAATAATGGTTTACTGATACAAGTTCTACTAATTAACACTTATCTGGGGGAGAAGAGATAGATTCATACCTTTCCAAAGTGTATTGGAATGTAAGTGAATACAACAAACGCGCTCTCTGATTTCCAATTCTAAATTGTTATCCATTATATTACCTGCATATCCAAGCTTACACCACCTGGTATTCCTAAGCAGTCACCCATGTAGTTACTGACCAGGCTCACCACTGCTTAACTTCAGTGATCATACGAGAACTGAGTCTTCAACATGATATAGCCATAGACCATCAGGTCATGGAAGCAACTCTGCCTCTTTCAGATTATCATCATATCTTTGACTGATTATCCAGGAAGTGATTCCATAATTATGCTATTGATTTTGCTTTAGTTCTGATCTAAATCCAATTAAAAATCTATGATTCAAGTGAAAGAAGGCAGTGTATGCAAGAAACCCAGGTAAAATCAAGCAATTGTTGGAATTTTTGCCAAGAAGAATGGTCAAAAAACAGGACTCACTACTGTGAGAAACTTCTTAAAGATTATAGAAAAAGACTGGTTGACATTGTAACCTCAAAAGGAGCAGTCACCTGATATTAAATGGAAGGGTTCAATTACTTTTGCTCATCTTGGTTTTTAATTTTTAATTAATATTTTTAATCCAGCTTGAAAAAATTTTGGAAACTGTTTTTTCTTAATTAATATATAGTTTAATTACTTGTTGATCATCTGTAAAAAAAAACAAAAAACAATGTTTTAAAATATTATCTTAGGGGTTCACTTACTTTTGCACAACAGTGTATACACACACACACACACACACACACACACACACACACACATATATATATATAAGCATTTTATTTTGATTGGTCATTGCAGCTTATGTAACAGCGTTTCCCCTAGTGAGGGGTGTTTGGTCGATTTGAACCTTTTAAAACACCATCACTTGATAAGACACCAGAAGTGTTGAAACAAAATGGCTGATTCTGTAGTGATTTTATAACATATTTATGTTAAGATTTTGAATAAATTATACATACATACATACATACATATATATATATATATATATATATATATATATATATATATATATATATATATATATATATATACTTTAACGATTTATTTCAAGTATTTATTTTAAATATCTACTTTTAAAATTTTAAATTTTAAAATTTATTTTAACAATTTATTTTTTAAATTGTTTTAATATTTATTAAAAGTTTAAATGTAATAACTTAAATTTTAAATAATTTACGTTAAAGCTGAGTTTTGGTGTTTACCACGAGGAAATTTATAAAATTTAAATAAAAAAAAAAATTAGCAATCTAAAAATTTATTTTAACAACGTATTTTAAGAATTTATCTAAAAAATAATTCAAAACAAATTATTCGTAACACAAACCATAATTCAAGCGATAACCCATATATTATCTTTACGGATATATTTAAATATATAAAGTTTCGTGTATCTCAGCTTACTCTTGGTCGTGAACTGGACGTTACAACTGTAAAGTACTTATCACAGATCAGAAGTAAAGACTTACCCTCCGATGAGATTCTTTGGAACCCTTTTCACACGGACGGCGCCTTACCGTTCTGACAAGCGAAAAATTTAGTTTACAGCGAAGCTATCCTGAGTAAGCTGGTGACCCTACCAGGATTTAGTATATGTGGGCACAGTCTTAATAATGTAAGTTATGCAGTGTGACACGGTGTTTATGACTCACACAAATGGAAAACTACAGGACAAGATAGTAAAGGTAAGTGGGAAGAAAGGACTATCTATCAAGTGTAAGAAGACAGAATCTATGGTTGTCAGCAAGATTAAAAGCCCCAGATGCGAACTACGTATTGGTGATGCCAAAATCAAACAAGTAAATTTAAATATCTGCAATAGGCGGACCTACATTTTAGGGTCCCTGAAGCTTGAACAGATATTGGGGTCCGTTTGCAACCATCAACAATAGATTCGAGGATCCAACTGTCAAAATGTAGGCTGTAAATAGATTCTGGGAGCTCGAGTCCATGCAACTAGGGGTTCGGTTCCTGCAAGCCTCCTAAGAAAATGTTGAAATTACAGGGGAATTTTGAGACCATATGAAATGGCTGTTGGAGCAGATTCTAAGGTCAACATTAGCTATTTCAACCGATTGACTTATGATTCTATCACGAAAATGGACTTATTTTAATAATAAACACTTAATAAAAAAAAAGTTCGAATTTGTTGAAAAATTCGCCCATTAAAAAATGTTGCTTTAGCGATGCCTCTGACATTACAGACCTTAAAACTTAAGCTTCATTCGTTTCCTAGTTGATCCGCCATTGAATATTTAGGAGGTGGTTTAACAGAGGATAGAAAATATGACACCGAAATCCGAGGTACATTGCTATAGCAAGAGATGCATGTTGCAGTTTTTTGTGTATGTTATGTACTAGTGAGCCAGTCCAAATGACTTGACTCATTTTATAGTCCACCAATAGAAGGTTAACCAATCAGAAGACGTAGAATATTCAATCCGTCGTGTATAAAGGCGGCCATTTTGTTTACTCTATCCGAATGTCCAGTGCCAGCTTATCAGGCAAAGAGGAACAGAAAGAAGAACTACGCTCTGCTACTTTACCGGGATATCCACTGCTAACCTGAACAACGCTTCCCTACTGTCTTCGAAATATTCACTGCTAACCTCTGGATTCTATACTCAAAGACGACCGTCATCATGAACAACAATGCATTCCAAAAATAGCACAAAGTACTAACAGGAAAATTTCCTTAAAGACAAAGAAAAAAAAAATTATGTTAATTTCCTCTATTATATTAATCTCCTCTATTTCAGTGATTGCTGGACAATTTCTTGACAGATAAATGGGGGACTGAGGACAACAGAAATGTGATGAAAACAATGTAGGAAAAGCATAATATAGAATCGATTTTGTTATTTCCTTTATTTTGAATTTCTAAGGAGACAGTAAGTAACAAGATTTCCAATAACATCATCGTTATATAATCAATAAGCAGTCGTCTTATACTACAGGTACAGGATAAATTCATGAAATTTTGCTATATTTTTGACCTCGTCTTATCTAAAGATTGCCTTATATGCGAAAATATCCGGTACCATAATGAAGTAAATAAGAAAAAAATATGAAAAAAGGGCGCTAACTGGTCATGGTTCCTCACTATGCAGACATCTACAGAGAAATAAGAAATGTGTATCGCAACGATTAATATACGTATAGAACACCAGATGAATTTCTAATCTAATGCAACACACACACATATAAACATATATATATATATATATATATATATATATATATATATATATATATAAATGCTCCTGAAAAATTATTTCGGTTGAACTTTCTAGGAAGAAAGTGTGACTATTACTACTACTAATGCAATATTCTTCGATAAAACGAATCGAGTTCTCTCAGTCACTGGCTGGTTTATCTAATAAATACGCTTAAATTCACCTTTATCCCTAACGTAAGCCAACGGCTTAGGGTAAATTCTCCTAGCTAGCGGGAACTGGACGTTTAGCCACACTGATGAGCTCTGTGATACAGCAAAACAGTCTGTCTCTGGATGACAATATATATATATATATATATATATATATATATATATATATATATATATATATATATATATATAATAACGAGATAGAAATTTTTATTATATATCAAGAACAGTTTGGGAGAAAAGGTGTATGAAAAAGCGTAAAAGTTTTCGTATGATGCGTTTCGTTCCTTAGGATTTCAATGAACTAATTTCGTTTATGTTGGTACGACTACACATGCGCACGAACGAGAGACGCTGGGAATTTTAAATTTTGACAAAAAAGTTGCGGTGTTGATATAATCTAGTAAACTTCATTTAGATTTTTTTTCTTTTACTTTTTGTTTCCGTCATCTTTGTTAATAAATATCCCACTGCCTATATCTAGGGATATCGTATAGGTTTTATTTATAGCACGGGCGAGCATTGACTGAGAAGTACTGTAAATAAGAACCAGACAGCATCCCTTGACATAAGAAATGGAAAGAGAACAGTCTATCTCCGTATATTAAATAAAGAATTAATTTCAGAATTACCTGTAGATTACCCAGATCGATACACAACCGATGAAGGTAGGAGAACAAAATCTAAACGTTGTGATAACAACAACAAAGATTGGTCTGTGGCTCCTGCTATATATCTCGAGATTATTAACAAAATCCCAAAGAGAATCTTCAATGTTATCATTCCTGATCTAGCAACTAGACTCCAGTCATTGTCTCGTCACCGTAACGTAGCTTCTCTGATTCTTTCCTATAAATATTTTCATTGCAATTGTTTTTTGCTACCTCGACCTCTTGAATTTAAGCGTGCTACTATATTGACACCTAAGTTTCATCGTTTTACTGTTGAAATAGCTAGATGTAACCGTAAGTTCTTTGCTAACAGTTTCTTCTCTCGCATTTCTCGCCTGTTGAACTCACTTCTGGCTTCTCCCTTTCTAGCAAACTACGATCTTCAAAAATTTAAATGCAACGTCAATCGCCACCATCAGTCTGTTTTAATCCTGTTCTTTTATTGTCCTTTCTTCTCACTCAAGTTTTCACCTTTTCTGTCACTCTCGGTTTAACCTCCTTACATCTCAGTGGCCTTATCGCCTCGTTTGGAATGAAATGTTTTTTTAAAAAATGTATATGTGTATATGGTTGTGCCATCGTGATTGAGAGTTTGCGTATACGGGCCTTGTTCAAATCCTTGAACACGCCAGATATTGCGCTTTCTGTCCGATAAACTGTAACTAAGGTTTTCTCAGCATAGTTACTGTATAAACCACAGGTGGGCTCTGCGGGTGTTTAACAGGCGCAAATGTGCCTGAGCAGGTGGCTGCACCAGGGATTGGATAGCCACCCTAGCAGACGGGTGTACTCAGAAACCAATATCCAGCTATTACACACACACACACACACATATATATTGAATATGACGGACAAAGAATATTTTGTTTTTATTCAGCTTTCCACGTGTCTAACATTTTTTTTCTTTTTTGAAGGCTGGGTATGTGCAGGAATTATTGTTAGTATTTGTTGTCCCGAGCGCTTTCGGCTAATCTTTAACCATTTTCAAAAGGGGGTAATTTTCATCATAACAAATGTAATATTGTAAAGACAGAATCAAAATTGAATAAGCAAAACTTACTAAATATTCATTGCCTATCATATTCAACTTGTATAAAAGAATATATATATATATATATATATATATATATATATATATATAT